CCAGGCTGTGGGGCGCCAGTGTTACCTATCATCCCAGTGACGTAGCCAGCCTCCCGTAGCACCTCAGCCAAGGTGGTCTCGTTGAGTGGAAGGCCCCCCACTGAGGTGACTGCAAAGTTGTGTGTGACTCCATTGCGAAGGCCAAGCCGGCCAGTGAGCAGGGAGGCCCGGGAGGGTGAGCAGGTGGAGGCAGCTGCGTGGAAATCCACAAACCTGCACGGGGAGGAAAACGGATTGAGGGCTCTCCAGCCCCAGGAAGCCAAACCAAGAGGAAATTCAAATCCCACTCTGTTTCTGGGATTCCTGTGCTGGGGAAAAGCTCAGAGATCACCGGGTAACAGAACAGGTAAGGAAAATGAAGCCCAGAAGGTAATGGGACTAAGCCAAGGTCACACAGGTATTTAAAATTGATTTTTATCCAACATATTTAGTTGATCCTCTTTACCCAAAGATTCCATATTTCAGATTCAACCCACTAAGTTTATTTGTAACCCCAAGATCAATACTTGTGACCCTGAAGCAGTTAAGACACAGACATAATGCAGACCTGGGAAAAATCTGAGTCACCCCGTGAGCCCATTCCCAGCGGAGGTCGAGCAAGGTGACCTTGAGTTTGATCTTCTTGTTTCGGCTCTCATACTGCAAGCAAGTGTCCTCCTTTTCACAGTCTATTTAGCGCCATCGTTTTTGCATTTTTGGTCTTTGTGTTGGTGATTTCACTGATTAAACCAGCCCCTGAGCATAGCGCTGAGGTGCTGGCCAGCACTGCTAAGCTCAGGAAAGCTGGAACGTGTCTTACGGAGAAAATACACGTGTTAGACAAGCTTCATACAGGCACGGTTATAGTGCTGTTGGCTGTGAGTTCAGGGTTAACGGTTCAAAAATGTATATCAAGTAAGGTGTCTTTAAACAGAAACACACATAAAACAAGGTTCGGGACTGATAAGTGGACGAAACGGTGTGGCCAGAGGCACCAAGAGCCTAAGCCTGTATTTCCCCTAGAAGCAATGGTTCAGAGTTCCGTAAGTCAAGGCTCACGGTGACTTTACAGAACATTTCTGCCAGTAACAAGAACTGACTGTATCTACCACACATTACCGTATGCAACACTATGGAGAAATATTCAAAGCGTCTAGCCGTTTTCCTACCCTCAAGGAACGTGATTAAAATCAACGTCATGAATAATGGGGAAACCTAACCTGTGCGTCTCCTGATGGGAATGCAATAGGAAGTTCGTAACATCAAGGATTCTTGCCCAAAACGTTCAACCTGAATCTCATCAGACCCCTGAACCTCATTTCCAGGTGACGGGAAAT